CCCATTTTCTTTCTTTTCTTAGGCATCTAGATCAAACAAAGTAGCTTCTGAGAATAGGTTTGTCATTTTCAGAATCAGAATGCACTTTGTGTCTGTTATAGGCTGTGATGTATGAAGCAGAAAGAAGATTGATTTTCACCAGCTACCATGTACCTGAAATAATGAGAGTGGCAAATTACTTCTTCACTGAGCAAACATGACAGGAATGTCATAGAGGGAATGTATAAACATGCAAACATATTGGGGTCATGCAGATGTTACTTTTACAAAGGGACCTTACCCACCAGAGAGACATTTTTAAATCTGCATTAGTTTACAGAAGAAAAGCTGAATAAAACTTTATGTACCTACTTGCACAGGCAATAGAAACTTACTCAACTAATAAATAATGTAAGATTCAGTACAGTATAGAGCATAATTTAGGTGGGTACACTGCTTTTGTACATGGACCATCAAGTCAGGGGTCATGTTTGTTATTTCCTAGTTATCTGGACTTCCTGGAAAAAGAAAATAAAAGATAGGTTATGGGAAGCTAAGAGAATTCTGGTTGCTAATATTCTTTTGGCAGAACTTTTATTTCTTAAATGATAAATCCATATTTAATGGAGATGCATACATTTTTTGTGTGTCAATACTCAGTGCGTTTGTAGGATACTTCCTTGTCACCTGGAAAATGTTCTAGTGTTTCCAGAGGACAGCTAGAAGGTTTCTAAGGGAAGCTTGATTGAATTAATTGATTGAATGCCATTTCATGTTAAAACACAAGCCTGGTACTGAGAGAAAATGATTGATGGAGATTTTATTTCAGGTTCCAGAGGGTAGGGAGGAATGGGACAGATTAATAATCATAATATCAGTCGCACTATCCTATAAACTACATAGTTTATACCTCCATGAATGGTTTATACCTCTGCACTATTTCCAGTTGTTTCTAGAATGCCAGTTGTTTATTCATCATCAGATACAGGCTGATGAAGTCCCCAAAACTGAAAGGAAATTCATTATTTGACATTCTATATTATGATAAAAGAATTAAATGGAAATCTATGGTTACACTGATGACCATGGCCTGTGTGATCAGTGTATAAATATTTCACGCCCAGTCTTACTACATCTGTTTATGATGTTGGTGCCAAGCAACATTCCATTAAGTCTCTTTTCCCTGCCCACCCAACCCTATTCTAGTCCCAAGGGGTTTGCACCATCGAGCAGGAGGGGAGCGAATGTTGTTCCTTCCTGGGTTCTGTCCTATTGCCATATCCTCTCTACTTGCTCAGCAGTGAAACAGGCTGCAAAGGCACAGCTGGGAAGGGAGAAAACAGCAGCAGAAGGAGCACCGAGGTAGGACCCTCACCAAGCTGACTGCAAACAGCAGCCCCAGGTGGCAGGTGACAGATTAAAAAGACAAACTCCATCCCAGCTAGCTGCCTTGTGTTGACCTAGTAATCAGCAGCATTAATAAGCCACCCATCCCCAGAATGGCTGTATCACTAAGCAATAAAGGAGAGTTTCAGCTTTGACAAATTAAATAAGTGGCCACTGTCATGCCACACTAACAGCAGCTTTTCAGTCCTAAAAATAATTGTATTCAAGGGCCTTCCACAACATAAACCAGCATTGACTCTACCTCTTATCTTTGTTGTTTCAAATAAAATAAACCAATGGCTGTAATACTTTCAACTTGCTTATTTGTAGCGGACAGTTTCCATCTTTTTATTGTCATCTCATTCATCCCACCCTTATTCCAATGAAGTCTTATGGAGTTGCATGCATTCAAACATTTGAAAAATCAGGCCATTTGTATTTTGTTGACTAAGTTATAACTTCTGATTTAGGTCCCTAAGGCCCCCTCTATATGTTATACTTAAGGCATGATTAACGAATTAATCACACAGTAAGTTGTGACCCATCTACCCATTCAACCAATTAATGGAGTCAGTGGTGATGTGTGCGGGGTGCACAGGGGTACACATGCACCCCATCACAGCCAGCATTCCTGGGCAGGAGGTGGGTAGGCGAGAGTGCTGGTGCCCCCCCTGAGAGCGCTGACTGGGGAGTGGGGGTGCCAAGAGAAGCGGTCCCCCCCCCAGCCGATTGTGCTCACCCAGAAGTGCCAACAGGACCCTTCACCTCGGTCTGTGGGATTGGCAATGGGAGGATCCTCCACCCTGGTTGCTGACTGGCTGCTGGGAGAGGCAAGTGTCGCCCCGACTCATGAGGCACCAGTCACCCATGAATGGAGTGATAAAATAAGAAACAAGCTACAAAGTTATTCCACAAAAAATGTGAAATACCTTTGTAGCTTGTTCTAATCATGCCAGTAATTAAACATGTAACCAAGTGTTCTCCTTGTGGCTGGGAGTCCCATCAGCTGAGGGTCTCCCAAGCACAGGCTGCTAGCCCCACAGCTGATAGGCTCACAGTGGTGGTAGCATTCCTGGCACTACCCCCACTGTGAGCCCTGTTAGCTGTGGGACTTGCTGCAAAGAGAACACTGCCCCCCGCCCCATGTGAGCCTTGTCAGGTGTGGTGTTTGCAGCAGGGCTCACAGAGGAGGCAGAAGGGAGAATGCTACCACTGTTATGAGCCTTGTGAGGTGCAGGGCTTGCAGCAGGGGCAGCAAAACATGTGGCATGGCAGAAGGCATGATTGTGTGGATCATACATGAAATCCCATTGCACCTTTACCTGCAGGTGTAGAAGGTCCCTAATTTTAAGTGGCCAACTTTGTAAATTTGGATCTGGAGTTTCTTCAAGTGAAACTACTGCAAGCCCTTGAGAAGTCATCTTCAGTTGTGTGGGGTATAAGCCTTATTTTGAAGTTTTTCTTTCAGGAGTCTTCTAATGAGAATCCATTCCTTACTAGGTATAGTCAAACTAACTAAAAGTCAAAACAAATATCCCTCTTATATTAGCATAGCCAGTTCGAAGATTTATGGACAGAAGGCAAACATAAAGCACTTAAGAGCAGGACAAAAGCTCTAGTGCTAGTATCAAACAAGATATCTCTCTGAATTAGTTAGTTTAGAAGGTGCCACCCTATCTTGCCTTATGCCTAACTAACAGACTAACATAGCTATATCTCTCCAGTGTTTAACAAGATCATACTGTCTCCCTGAAAGGCAGATTTATATATTTGGGGAAGCTATTTGGCTACAGGTTTGGAAATAATAAGTGTTGGGTCCTCCTCAACAATGTGTCTGAACCTGGCTTGAAGAGACCAGCCAGTGCTGCTTTGGGACTGCTCTTATGAGGCAGAAAAGAGATCAACATGTAGCATGATCATGCAGTACATTTTTTCCAGAGAGCTTGTTGGTTGATGGGGTAGTGCTGTGAATAAACAGAATAAGGGAAAATGAGGGGATATTCATTTTAATATTGACTTATTAATGTATTAGGGGAGAAATGTGGAGATAGCATCTCAGTCTGAAGCAGTGCATATTTTTTCAGCTCAGAAGGAAAAGTATTTCAGTTCCATGCACTATAAAATAGTAATAATTTGGTTCAAATGATCAAGTTTATAGCTTTTTAGTGTAAATGATGTAGGATAGACATCATCATCCTCTCGAAATGTGATCATCCTGCAAAAATGTTTCTTAGCCATCTCCTTAGGGCTCAGGGAGAACGAAAAGTGAGGAGAGGTTTCATTGTAGTACTTTTCACCAATTGCTGCAAAACTTTAATTCTTAAATACAAGAGCAGGTTGCTAAATTAGATGCTTAGAACTTTCTAACTGTGAGGGCTCTTATGCACCAGAAAAGGTTTACCTAGAGAAGTTGTGCAATCTCCATCACTAGAAGTTTTTAAGTCCAGGTTGAACAATGTTTGGAACGGTTTATATAGTGATGATATTGCCTTGAACCGGGGCTGGGTTAGAAAATCTCGAGGCCCCTTCCAGCCGTGTTTTTTGTGATGCTACAGTTCTTGTCTTTTGGCAGCTGAAGAACCATTTTGTCTTTGTGTAAAGTTGCAGAGAAAATACTGCTCAACCTTGTACTTTAACTTTGCAGCTAAGTGTCATCACATACTGCTAAAAGTTATAATAAAACTAGGATGATGCAATATAAAATCAGTATGTCACATTGTGATTACTTTGTGGGTGCTTGCAGCTCCCTGCAGCTCTACACATGCATTAATGCACCACAGTTACTGCTCATTATGTTTAGTACCTGTACTAACTCAATGTGAAATAACTGGTACTACTCCACAGTAGCGCCACTGTTCACATTTTAAGTGCTGCTAATGCTAAGTAGACTAATTCTACTGAGCATTAGCTCATTAGCACGGCTTTTGTTGTGATGTGCTAATGTGCTTTTATAGTCCTGTGTAGACATGCCTAGTATCTCCTATCTGTGCCTGGTTATTGGGCTAGATAGGAGAGATGGTTGTGAATCCCACATGACTCATCATTCTGCTGACCACCTCATGTATGTCTAATAACACGGGGATCTCTCCTATGATAGGGTGTTGCATTTGCTAGTGCTCTAATCAGATGCATCCAGTCTATATCGCTCAGGGTTGCAGGTGACTGTACAGCTAAAGGCTGAATGCCACTGTACTAGGGTTAAGGGCCAGATTGATCTTGGCAGGTCCATGATGATAGAATGAAATTATCTTGCTTCAGCAAAGGCACCCTAGACTGAATTCATCATGAGGTCAAGGTTAGTAGGGTATCTATTGATGACTTCCCCTGAGAGGCTAGAGAATACTTATTGAGATTACATACAAGCCCTGCTGATGGAGGCATAAAACATTTGATAAGTCCTAGATACAGCCTTTCTGTTGAGGTTGAACAACCTGGCAGATTAGGGTTTGGAGACTGTACTAATACTGTCCATGCTCTGCCTTTTTTATAGTAAACAGGGTTTCTAATTCCAGGGCTGTCAATCAGACACCTGTTACAATCACTAAATTCACCTTAAAATTGTAAAAAAAAAAAGACAAAAAGAAAAAGAGCTTAAAAAAGCTTCATTTAAATATTTTTTGTATTTTCATTTTCAGGATGAATAAGAGATATTTACAGAAAGCAACAAAAGGAAAACTTCTTATAATAATATTTGTTGTAACACTCTGGGGGAAATTAGCATCTGGGGCAAACCATCATAAAGGTAAGAAATTCCACTCTGTTTCACTACATTGTAATATGTACGGCCTCCATCAGCAGAATGAGAATGTTGTAGCTTATTGGACCTGTGTCACTTTTCTGTGTGTATTTGTTTCTCATAATAAGCGATCCACAGATCAGTGATAGAAGAAGTTTTCAATGATCAGGGTTATTTTAATTCCTTGAGAACTAGTCCCATACGAGTTTAAGCAGTCCAATTTCACTTTTATGATTGTATGACTGGAACAACTTCTTTCCCATTTTGTTATCAAAGATGGTAAACTTGAAAGACCAAGTAAACATAAAATAAAAATGCTTCCGTCATAAAAATAGATACATCAAACAGCACATATAAGTGCTGTAGATGAATTCCTGAAATGAACCTCAGAAAGAAACAATCTTCAATAACATGTATGCTGCTATTGCATGCAAATTACCTGTCAAGGGTAACTTCATGGAGAATATGTACTGAATATTATTGTCTATTTCTACACTGAAATAAAGAGTGAGCTAGGAAAGCCTTGTTTTCCAGTGTGTCACTCTCCTATGCACACTGGTGCCTGGAACATGACACTGAAGCAGTCCTCTAGTAACTTCAGCAATGTGAAGCATCTTTCTGTCTGGCAATTCAAGTCTCTATTCTGTATAAGCATACGCGTGATGGTTCCTTGACACCTGTAAATGTCTTTCCTTTTTTTAGTCCTTTTGTTTGTGGTTTGTGTCCCCAAGCCAAGGAATAATTTCCCTACAGCATGAGTTAAGTTTCCCTGCAGTCCAAGGTAATTTTGAAGTTCACTTCTTACCCTGTGCTTATTGCTTATTGGCAATTTATTCTCTGATTCCAAGTAGACTGAATATATTGAGGCACATAAACATAAAAGTAAGGAGTTAAAATGAGAAAAAGATAATAAAACAAACTATTCTCTTTCTTTCAAAGTAACAGGAGGGTTTTGTAGGTGCCAGATACATTTATGTGATATGGAGATATGTTTCTTCAAAATATATAATCAGTTAAGCATTTTAGGATACCAAGTCCTTTTCCGTTGAATCTCTTCTAAGTTTTAAATATCGTGGTGGATAAAACATGTTCTTTCATCATTCCCCTTTGGACCCTGTTCAAACTTTTGTTTGATACCAGTTACTTATCAAAGTTTTGACCTCATCCACGGTGGCCAATCAAACTATGTTATTTCATTATTTCAATCATGATCCTGTTTAAATTGCATGATAATGTGATTGTTACTTGGATTAAAAAGTGTATATAAAAAGGATTGGTCTTTTAAGTCAGTTACATTTCATATTAAAATGATAAAGCTGTGTAAAAAAAATATATTTGTCAAGTTACTGTGCTGCAAATGAGAAGAGACACTGGCATACCAGGTCCAGTTTTATGGAGTGATGTGTACAAAGGAAATCATAATGGGGCTCTACTATTTTGTTTCTGTTCCATGCTTGGCATTCTGAATCCTAGCCTTAGAGAAAAAACAACTTGAAAAAAAGTGTCATGTACACAAGCCAGGTTATTGGATTTAGGGCAGGGGTGAGCAATTATTTGGGCCCCAGGGCCACTTAGGGAATTTTGGTGAGTGGTCACAGGTACCCTCTCCTGTGCTAGGTCAGCACCTTCCCCCTCACCCTTGCAACAGCTCACCAAAACTCCCTAAAGTGGCTCTGCTTCGTGCTCAGCTGGGATGGGGCCATGAGTAGGCAGGAGGCAGCATCCAAGAGCGGGATGAGTGGGTGGGACTAAGGCCAGGATTGTAGGGTGGTGACAGTGTGGGGCCATTCCACAATCCACTCCCTACACACCCCTGCAGCGGGTACCAGTTCTGTGGGCAGAGACATATGGGCAACTGATCGCAGCTCTGCCCTGGCCCCATGCTGTCACTCCCCCATAATCCTGGCCCCACCTCCAGTCCCGTTCCCAGACACCACTCCCCACCTCCCCATGGCCTCATCCCATCTACCCAGCTGTGTGCCCTGCCCACATGGGTCCCACCCCCATCAGTGTGTGTGGAGCAGAGGGACTGGGGTGCCTGGGCAGCAGGGTTGGGCCTGGTGGCAACAGCAATCAGAAAGAGCTGCTGCCACTGGAGCTGCCGGTAAGACTCGATGATCCTCCGGGGTCCCTTCCAGCCCGAATGTCTATGAAGCAGATCTGGGCACTGCACTGCCCTGGCTTTGCTGTGTGCATGGGGATGGTGGGATCAGGCTGTGCCCCTGTGCTTGGTCTGGGTGGGACTGAGAGACCTGCTGTGGACTGAACTAAATCCCTTGGCATGCTGGATCCGGCCCACGGGCCTTATTTTGCCCACGCCTGCTTTAGGGGCTTTGTGTTGTGTTTCTGCAAGTTAACATTTTTTTTTCCAACTGTAACATTGAAGGCCATTTGCAAATAGGGGAACAATGGGGAAGTTTTATTCTTGTGGGAAACACTAAAGAAAACAACTGACTGCAGTATTTAATTTAGAGCAGGTATCTATGCTCATATTCAAATTTGTTTAGAAAGAAAAAATATTAAGAAGGATTTTGAGCTTGTGGTTTATTACATCTGAAGAGCTGCTGCACTTTCTATATACAGGGGGACTTTCAAAGGCACAAGTAGGATTTAGCTGTTCAACTTCCATTGCCTTTTGAAGAAATTCACAGCCTTACTTCCCTTTTGTACCTTTGAAAATCTCCTCCACAGTCTACAACAGGAATGGAGTTAAGGTGGACCCAAGGAGGGTATGACCCCATTCTCCTCAAAGTACATTTTCCAACCACTGAAAAATGCAGTAGCTTCTTAGTGATAATTACCTATTGCATCATTAGTCTTCATTTATAGAAGTCCCTAATAACATATTGACATGACAAACTTAATGACTGTGAAGAAGCCCCTGCAATCTATTAGATCAATTATCTACATCTTTACAAGAATCTTTTCATCCTATTGACTTAGGGCCAGATCCAAGTCAGCCTTATGTAGGTCCCTACACAGGCCTTAAAGAGCTATTTAGTGACTAAGGTCCCCTCCTACATACTACAGGTATTGCACAATGAACTGTTTAATTGTGTATTTACCTTAAGACCAGCCACACATGCAAAGTAGCTATCACATAATAAAATGCTCCAACAAGCTATAAAGTTAGACATTGAAAATGTTAACTGAGGGGGCTTCCAGCCACAGAGGTGCACCAGCCTGAAACCCCCGAGCTTTAGGGATTGAGGCAGCTACAGTCCCTAGGATTTGGGGGTTTCATACACTCCCAAGTCCTAGGGATCATGACTGCCTTGATCCCCAGGGCCCAGGGGTTTCACACACCCTGGCCTGGGAGATAATAGCTAGGCCTGGGAGATCATGGCTGCTGCAATCTTTCAGTCCCAGAGGTACATGGGTCACCCCTGTGGCTGGGAGCTTTCTACCTCTACCAGTGATAAGATGTGATGGGATCTAATGTGACATCACACAGTCACACCTCCAGTCATGCACATGTGGTGTGGGAGAGGTACAATTGTGTGTGTTAGATCTTATTGTTGCTTTACCTGCTTGTGTAGAGGGGGCCTAAGTTACAATAATTGATCCATATCAACCCTATTTCAGAAGCAGCAAAACTGTTTTGGCACCTCTTCCAAAGTCCATGTTTCCTTAGACAGCTGCAAAGCATGCATTTTCACTCTGACACTGTGCTCATTCATGTGGCTCATTACAAAATACCATTGTGTTTTGTAATGAGCCCCATTTCTAATGAATTCCACATGGGAAGGGGCTAGAAAAGGTGCCCTAAACCTAGACTATCTTATCTGCTTCTGACTGGATAATGGTGTCCAATGGGATAACTCTGCCTGCTGTTGAAAACATTATAAAAAGACAATGATTTTTACAATGAGGAATATTTGCACCTTGATGCATAGCTAAGGCAATGAATGACCAGAAAAAAGAACTGCCATAGTCTCCAGGGAATTAGTGAGACACAACATCGATGTCGCAGCACTGAGTAAGACAAAACAACTGGATGAGGGGAAGCTGTGGGAAGAGGGTGGGGGCTACACCTTCTTCTGGAAGGGGAGCCCAGGACAGATGTGTTCACAATGTCAGCTTTGCCACCAAGAACCAGCTCATCAGACAACTTACAGAGTTCCCTGTGGGCATTAATGAATGTCTTATGACCTTTCATTTTAAGTGCAGCAACAACCAGTACACCTTTGTCATCAGTGCATATGCTCTAATGCTTGATGTTGATGATGATGTCAAAGAACAGTTCTACTTTAACCGTGATCACATTCTGACTAATACTTGCAAGGAAAAGATCATTCTTCTTGGTGACTTCAGCGCCAGAGTCAGATGTGACTTGGAACTCTGGAGTGGCACAATTGGGAAGAAATGGGGACCTGAGGAATGTCAACATCATGACTATCTTCAAGAGAGGAGATAAGGCTGAGCATTGAGGTATTGCCCTCCTTTCCACAGCAGGGAAAATATTTGCCTGCGTCCTCCTGAACTGACTTCTACCTCTTGCTGAGAAATCCTGTCAGAATCTCACTGTGGTTTCAGAACATCCAGTGGGGCAACTGACACGATCTTTGTTGCCCATCAGGTCCAAGAAAAGTAGCAGGAAAAACAGCAGGACCTGTATATGGCCATCTTCAATCTCACTAAAGCCTTTGATTCCATGAGTCATGAAGCCTTGTGGAAAGTCCTGGCCAATTTGGATGCCATGAAATGTACATCAAGGTCCTGAGGCTTCTCCAGGATCAGATGACTGTGACCATCTAATGTAGCAGACTGCAGGCCTTTTCATTTGTAATCCAAACTGGGGTCAAGCAAGAATGTGTCATTGCCCAACTCTATTCTTGATTTTTGACAGTCATCTTGGTTTTCATTCCTTCTTGAATTGATGTAGAATACTGAACAGATGGAGGGCTCATCAGTCTAGGATGTTTTCAGTCAAAAGCCAAAGTACTCAAAACAACCATCCTTGATCTTCAATACACCAAAGATTACACCATCCTTGTGCATGCTGA